AACATACAAAAGCAGTTTATGACTTCTGGAAACAGGTCTCATTTAACCCTTCTCACACTCAAATAAGAGGGATAGCTAGCCCACATTTTGAGGGGAAACAGGCTCGGAGAGTCTAAGTAGCTTTCTCAAAGTTAGACAGGAAGTAAGGAGTCTGTTTCTATAGGTTCTGAACTCCCTGTTTATAGTTCATTTGCCCTTCGTACTTGTAAGGCTCAATTGTTGCTGATTCACTTCTGTGTTCTCTAAAGAGGTTCCATTCAACATCAGACCTTTACTTCAGGTAGAGGTTCCATCAGCCCATATTCCGCATTTGGCACCAACTTCTTGCTATCCTTGTTTTCTGACCCCATAGTCCTTTGCTTACTTTGTGGCACCAGTAGAGCCTATATACAGACCCCTGTGCAGATCCTCCTTCAACTTTCTTTCCATGAGCCTCCCTGCTCTCCATATACCTCAGTGTTCAGACTTGATTATAAACAGCAGTATGTTTCTTTTTGGTTCTCTGTAAGCAGCTGGTATGTCTCAGATGTTTCCTGGAGTTAGCTGGTAATAGCAGAAAATACCATTCTTTGGAGATTTTGGCATTTCTGCTTCTACGGCCTGCATATGATATATGTTTCTCTACTCTTAGATTAAGGGTGTCCAGGTTAGAGCATAAGAAAACCAAAATAGAATATACCTTAAAGGTCCTGATGAATCAAAACTAAAAAATTTTGAGAATTACAGATTTGATCTCTTTGAAATATATCCTAAACCTGACAACTCCTCATCACCGCCACCCTACTGTCTTGTTTTAAGCCACTGCTAGCTCATACCTAGATTATTGTAATTGCCACTGGACAGGTTTGCCTGCATCTGTCCTTGCCCTCCTATCGTCTGCTTTTTAACACAGCATTCCGATAAATCCTTTAAAAAATGTTAATTTGACCATGTTGCTCCACTATTCAAATTTCTCCAACAACTTTCATCTTAAAGTCAAAGTCCTTAAAATGGCCCACAGGGACCTTTCTGAACTGGATCCCTGTTGCTTTCCTGAGTTCCTATCCTATGGTCACCATTATTCTCATTTCTCTTCAGCCACACTGATCTCCTGGCTATTTATTGAACATACCAAATATCTCCTTGCCTCAGGACCTTTGCATTTGCCATTCCTATTCTTGGGATACTCTTCTCCCAGTTATTCTGCCTGTGTTCCTCCAACCTCTTCTTCAGGTATTTGCTTAAAAGTCACCTCTAAATGACTCCTTCCTTCACTCTTCTAATTCAAATGACAAACCACTAATAACACTACTTTTGGCATTCTCTCTTCTTTTTTCCTGTTTTAAAGAAATTAATGTATTTTCACCCAAACAGGATATTAGTGTTATAGGTCCCAAGTTTGTGTGCCCAGTTCTTTGAAAGGCCAGTATTCAAAATATCAGAGTTTGGAGTAAGGAAAGTATTTTTGATTGAGAATACACTATTGAGAAGATGAGAATCCTGATCCTCAAATCCATCTTAAGAAAGTACAGCGTTCAAGCTTCTTTTATGTCTAGAGAAGGAAAAATGGGAGGGACCGTTTTGTAAAAACTCAAGCCCCATGCAGAAATCCTCTAATGATTAGTATGTCTAAAGCAGGAGGTATTAGCCTGAAGGTCATGGGAGCAATAGCAGGCTTGAACGAGTTGGAGTCAGGGAGAGAGTGAGCATTTCACTCTGTTACATGAACTCAATAAAGACAAAGATTTGTATATGATTTTTATTACTTAGTGTATTTCTAATGCCTGGAACTATGCCTGATACATAGAAATCTTATATTTGTTGATTAAATGAATGAATTTCTGTCCCCAAACTGGCTGTCTCAGACTGCTTATGACTGTGTCTTCCCTGAGATGTTTCAGTGTCTATGTCTCAGTGATGTATTAGTGGTCTCATCTCTTAGGTTGCCAGTGAGAGCAATTAGACTCTCAGTAAAATTAACAAAATTAAAACAGAAGAACTATGGCAGGAGGGGGTCCAGATATTAGGGAAAAAAACTTTTTAAAGTATAAAATAAAATAAAAAGTACAATAAAATAGTCAAGTGCTAGCACAAAAATAGAACTATGGTTTAGTACAAAAGAATGGAGAACCTAGAAATATACCCTACTATATGTAAGGATGTAATTTATTATATTAAATCATGTTTTCCAAAAAGAAATGAAAGACAGATAATTTAATGACTAAGGTTGGGATAACTGGGTAGCCACTTTAAGATACACAACTTATAATAAATTCAATGCCAAATAGCCTAAAAGCTGACTATTAAAAAATATTTTAATCAGTTTTTCTAAGAATTGACAAAAATCTCTTTGCTCTGGGCTCTTTATCATGTTACTTACTTAATCTTTATCAAAAAGTAGACTCTCTCAACAACCTTCAGTGAGAGTTGGGGAGTTGGAGAACCTAACCGTCAGATGTCAGAGGGACTGTGTCCAGAGGATGTAAAGAACTGTTAAACCTGTCGATGTGAGCACTGCTTTCATGTCCTTCACCTCTGATTAGCCCCATGGGGGTATAACCGACCATATCTCTACCTCAGTAGTAGAATATATTAGTGTTGCACTCTAACATGTAGCCATTTAAATCTACATTAATGTTTAAAAAACTTCAACTCTTTAGTCACACAAATCACATTATGAGTGCTCAATAGCCATATGTGGCTAGTGGCAGCTGTTTGGACAGGACAGCTATTGAACATGTTCATCATTGTAGGAAGTTGTGTTGGACAGTGCTACATTATAGTTCCTTGTGCGCAGCAGCCTATGTACTCTGACTAGGTCGCGAATGTTCCAGTGTGGACTCTTTTCAAACTTCTCACCAGGGTCAGTAAGCCCAGCTGTCTCAATGTCCACAAAATCCAGGGTAGGCAACCACTGCTTATTTATGGATCCAAGGAATCTGGGATCATACTGTCAATCATCTATTCATTTAATCAACAACATATACTGACATTGCCCTGGGTCAGGCCCTTTCCTGGACTCCAGAATAAAGAAGGGCAGAGGGGAAGACATTGCCTGAAAATCCTGCTAAAATGTGCTCTTAGGAGAATAGTGATTGGAATTGCATATTTCTTTGATGTTAGAGGCACTGTGGAAAGCAGTGATCAATGTTCATTCCTGTACATATTTATGAGGTTAGGGATCATGCTGATTATCTATGATGTTAATTGTGAGTTAAACTTACAAAAGCTTTGATTTCTTTTGTTTTCCTTCTTTCTTGTAAAAGTATATCGTGAAAATAAATCCAGATAACTAAAGAACAGCAGATGCAGAGCAGGGAAATTTTTGGACTTTAAAACCAGGTATCTTGGGGTGGATGGAATACTAACTCCATCACTTACCAGCTATAACCTTGAGCAAATGTTTCAGTTATCTAATGCTGTATAACAAACTTCCCCAAAGCTTAGTGGCTTAAAACACCACCATTTATTTTGGTGTGTGTTGACAAGCTGGGCATGGCTCAGCAGGGATAGCTCATCTCTGCCCACTTGGCCATCAGGTAAAGTAACTCAAAAGCTGGGGGGCTGGAATCACCTGAAGCCTCAGTGACTCACTTGTCTGACTCCTGGGTTGGAAGTCTCACAGCAGGGGCTGCTCTGACACCTCTATCTCTAAATAGTCTTTCTACAGGATCTCTCCAGCATAGGGTAGCCAGGCTTCTTACATGTTTGCTCAGGACTTCAAAGGCATGTGTCCCTAAAGGGAGAGAGACAGGTGGACTCCGTATTGCCTTTTCTAACCTAACCTTGGAAGTCACTTGACATCATTCTGTTAGAAGATAAATCTCTAATATCTGCCCATATTGAAAGGGAGGGGATTTCACCTTCTGTGGGAAGATTGTCAAAGAATTACTATTCTCATTTTTTAATAGTTTATTTTATATTGTATTTTTCCATTGCCATTTATCTCCCTTACACCCTTTTTCATCTCCACCTTCCCTTCCCCTAACAATTACCACAATGTTGTGTGTGTCCATGAGTTCTTTCTCTTTTTAGCTTGATCCCTTTACCCCCTAACCTCTGCCCCACCCCTATAGCTGTCATCTGCTCTCTATGAATTTGTCTATATGTTACTTGTTTGTTCAGTTTGGTCCTTAGATTCCACATATGAGTGAAATCATATGGTATTTGTCTTTCTCTAACTGGCTCATTTTACTTAACATATTGTTCTCCAGGTCCATTCATGCTGTTGCAAGGGTAAAATTTTCTTTTTTATGGCAAAGTAGCATCCCATTGTATAAGAGTACCATAGTTGTTTTATCCACTCATCTACTGATGGGCACTTGGGCTGGTTCCAAATATTGGTTATTGTAAATAATGCTGCAATGAACATAGGGGTTCATGAATTCTTTCAAATTAGTGTTTCAGGTTTCTTTGGATACATTCCCAAAAGTGGAATCTCTGGGTCATAAGGCAATTCCAGACTTTATTTAATTGAAATCCAAAAGTTAATTGAAATTAAATTTTTAATTTTTGAAGTAATTCTTTACTGCTTTCCACAATGGCCGCACCAATCTGCATTCCCATCAACAGTGGGGTTCCCCTTTCTTTTATATCCTTGCCAGTACTGGTTATTTATTGATTTATAATAGATATGATAATTCATTTGTTGTGATGATTAGATGAGAAAATACTCTAGAAGGTCTTGGAATATTGCTTAGTGTATAAATAAGTGCTAAAAATTGTTAATTCTTCCTCTATTCTTTCCTCTTCTAGCTTATTGAATTCCAGTTAACTCTCATTTATTATCTTTCCATAATTAAAAAACGAGGGAGAAATTTCATATTCATGCTTATGTATTTTTTTCAAGTGGAATATATTACCAAGAAGTAAAGGCTATCTAGTTGGCAACTAGAACGTAGGCAAGTGGAAGGATACGCAAATGATGTGATACACTTGTACATTGGGTAGAGGGGGTGTGTTTTTGATAGCTCAGTGACCTCCCAGATATCTCTTATGACTTGTGTGCTTTTCTCTTGCAGTTCCTGAGGGAAGACCTCAATTACCATGACCCGACAGTGAAACACAGCACCTTTCATGGTGAGGATAAACTCATCAGCGTGGAGGACCTATGGAAAGCATGGAAGTCCTCGGAAGGTAATAGGCAGCCTGGTTGTCAGTGCTAGTTGCTGGCAGATTTAGAGTAGAGAGAAGAAGATGGGTAGTAACTTGGCCTTAAAAGGACATGAATATAAAATGCTTAGTAAAGAGCAAATTATTGAAATTGTTCTACATACAGTCATTGAATAAGAATGAATGTAGTCACTGTGCTGGGAATGGAGGAAGGTGCTCCAAACAGAGTTGGGTTGTTTTTCACTAGAATTATAGTTGAATTCCATCCTATCCCTACCTCTCTCCTCACTACCTCTCACCTCCAGTTTATGCTTCTTCATCTCCAGAGATAGGGAGTTTGCTGGCCTTTTGGGGCAGCCCCTTTCTTCTGTAGCTCCCCATTTGGTTCCAGCTCTGCTGAGTCCTAGATGATTCAAAAGTTGGAAGTAAGATAGTCTCTCCCCTGAGTCTTCTCTTTTCTGGATTAAATAGCCCTAGTTCTTTGAAGAAAACAGTGTTTTCTCACCCTCTTCGTCATCTTGGTTTCTTGCCTGTGAACGCATTTGTTAATGTCTTTCTTAGATCATAGCTTCCAGAGTTGGATGCTGTCCCCTAGGTGTGGTTTAATCAGCACAGAGTTGAGCAGGACCACTAGCTTCTCAGTTCTGGACCCTGTATATTTATTAGTACAATTTGATTAGATCTTGGGGCACATCATTCTGCTGACTCAAGTTGAACTTATTAAATAAACACTTTAGATCTTTTTCGTGCGTAAAACTGCTAAACCAGACAGGTGACCCCGGGGAGCAGGGAGTGCACTTTGGAGAGCAGGCAGCTGGAGGTGATGGTGTGGGTGGCACCAAGGCCCAGGGGTCACCAGAGCTGGTGGGAGTTCTTCCCCATTATCTCCCTTCACTTACAGCCTTGTCCCTGGCATTGTTCCTGCAGCAAAGACATTGAGCGTGGGAGAAAAAGACCATTGTTGGAGTGCTCATTTTCAGTTGCCAGTATGTTCCATGGTTTGGAGGGGAGGTCATAACTACTTGGAGGGAGCAGGCCTGAGCCTGGACTAGTAGACTTCTGATTTCAGGAGGAAGATAGAGGCATAGGTAAACACACTTCATCTTTTTGCACAACTACAAAATTACAAGAAATAATTACAACTAGACCTCAAAATAAATATCAACCAGAACCATCAGAAAATCGAGCTGTATGGGAGTCTGAAAGCCAAGTATTTAAAGAAACCACATTCAACCAGATGTGTCCCTTTCCTACAATAGGCCACACTACTAAGACAGGGAGTCAAAGCAGCTCTATCTAACACACAGGAATAAACACAGGAAGGTTGCCAAATTTAGGGGACAAAGAACTATGGCCCAAATGAAAGAACAGAACAAAACCCCAGAAAAAGAACTAAACTAAATGGAGATAACCAACCTATCAGATGCAGATTTCAAAATACTGGTTATCAGAGTGTTCAAAGAACTCATTGAGTATGGCAACAGCATAAAACTGACCCAGGCAGAAATGAAAGTTACATTAAGTGAAATGAAGAAAAGTCTACAGGGAACCAACAGTGGAGCAGATGAAGCCGAGATTCAAATCAACAATTGGGAACTTGAGGAAGAAATAGGCATTCAACCAGAACAGTAATAAGAAAAAAGAATTAAAAAAAATAATGATCATATAAGGAGCCTTTGGGACGTCTCCAAATGTACAATATCTGAATGATAGGGATGCCAGAAGGAGAAGAAAAAGGGCAAGAAAATAAAAACTTATTTGAAAAAATGAGAGAAAAAATCCCTAATTTGGTGAAGGAAATAGATATGCAAGTCTTGGAAGCACAAGGAGTCCCAAACAAGTTGCACCCAAAGAGGACCACACCAAGACATATCATAATTAAAATGCCAAAGGTTAAAGATAGAGAGAATCTTAAAAGCAGCAAGAGAAAAGCAGAGAGTTACCTACAAAGGAGTTCCCATAAGACTGTCAGCTGATTTCTAAAAAGAAACTTTGCAGGCTAGAAGGGACTGGCAAAAAGTATTCAAAGTGATGAAAAACAGGGATCTAGAACCTAGATTACTTTATCCAGCAAAGCTATCATTTAGTATGGAAGGGCAGAAAAAGTGCTTCCTAGACAAGGTAAAGCTGAAGGAGTTCATCATCACCACGCCGTTATTACATGAAATGTTAAAGGGATTTATTTAAGAAAAAGAAGATCAAAACTATGAACATTACCTGGCTGTTGTGGCCCAGTGGATTGAGCACTGGCCTGTGAACCAAAGGGTTGCTGGTTCGATTCCCAGTCAGGGCACATGCCTGGGTGGTAGGCCCAGTCCCCAGTAGGGGGAACATGAGAGGCAATCACACATTGATGTTTCTCTTCCTCCCTTCTCCCTCTCTAAAAATAAATAAAATATTTTTAAAAAACCCCTATGGACATTAAAAAGGCAGCAAATTCACAACTCTCAGCAACTGAATCTAAAAAACAAAGCAAACAACCAGAATAGAAACAGAATCATAGATATGGAGATCATTTGAGGGGTTATGAGATGGAAGTGGGAAGAGGGAGAAAAGGAGAAGAGGTATGGGTATTAAGAAGCATAAATTGGTAGGTACAAATAAACAGGGGGATGTTAAGTATAGTATAGGAAATGGAGAAGCCAAGGAATTTATATGTATGATCCATGGACATGAGCTGAGGTGGGGATTGCTGGAGGAATCGGGGTACTGGGCAGAGGCTGGCAAAGGGGGAAAAATTGGGACAACTGTAATAGCATAATCAATGAGACATATTTAAAAAATAAAATAAAACTGCTAAACCAGGACTACTGTATTTTTTCAGGAAAATTTGCTTCAGATTTCTGAGTAGAAGAACATGTCTAATTGTTTGAAACTTAACGGGAAAGGAAAAATAGGGCTTTTGCCTTCTTTTTGTTTCTATCTGTGGCTAGAGCTTCCTTTGATACTAACAAGATTGGAAGGAATCTCTTCCCTACTGTTAGGGTAGATCTTGATGTTAAGAAGGTTTAAACATGTGACCATCAGGGCCCCTGGTTTTGCAGATGAAGAACCTCAGGTATAGATTTATAAAGTTACTGTTTGTTTTCATGCATTTTTAGAGCCAGGACTTGGACCTGGGCCTTCTGTTCTCTAGGCCAGTGCTTTTCCATACCATCTTGGTTGGAAGCACTTGTCCGGTGGTAGAGAAGATGGTTTTGATAGGAATGAGGCAATTTCTATTTTTGTTTAAATTGTTACCTATCATTATAAAATTTTAGATCTGGAAGGGATCTTCTAAAATGTAGATGAAAAGCATTCAATTTGAAGCAGGAAGACTTAGATTCTAGTCCTGGTGCTAGAATGGCCAGGTTAATAGTTCTTGTTAATTTAGAAGAAGCGTAAATTAGCAATGCAGACAGCTTTCTGGAAATCTTTAGAAGCTGAGTTCCTTGTGGGGGCTTTTGTTTAATAGCTCCTTAGCAACTCAGGCTGTGTACTGATGAGAGGTTCATCAGTGAAATGATCTTTGGAATTACACTAGCACTGCCAGGAAAAATCTTCTATTATTACCATGTAATTTTAATTTACTTATTTTTCTGCACTAACATGAGGGCATGGCGCCTGGGTTTTAAGAGTGAGTTTCATAAGTAGGAACTTAGAATGAAAGATGGCAGGGAAAGCTTTCCTGGCTCACACAGAAGTAGCTGGGAAGGGAAAGTGGTCAAGAAAGGGCAGAAACTGAGGGACTAAATCATAATACTAGAAAACAGCCCAAGACAGTTTTCTGGTAAGAACTTTATTTCGGGCTTAGTAACTATTTGGAACACTTCCAAATGTCATCCAAACGACAGGAAAATGGACAAGAATGAAGTGAGTTTTCATGAGTTGTTCCCCATTACTGATGAGCAGAGAAAAACATTTCAATTGTAAGCCAAAATTAATTTTAGACTGTAATAAAGAATTAAAAGCATTTAATTGAGCAAAAGAAGCTGCAGCCTGAGAGACACAGATTCAGGTAGCAACCTAAACTGTGTTCCCTGGAGATAAAGGGAAGATTGTGTTTTATAGTGAAAGTCCCCCTACCCCCCAGGTTCCCATTAGGCCCATTTTATCTAAATGAGGTATCCAAATTATGCAGTTTTGATTGGACAGGGCAGATCTCAGCCTTTTGGTAGAAAGAGGAAACTCAAATGGTGCAAACAAGTGAGGCATAATGTGGGAAGCTGAGAGTTCAGTCTGAGTTTTTCCTGGGACACAGTGCGTGAGAAGATCCTGTCAGCAAACGGAGACTAGGCTCTTATTATTTATAAAATTTGGGCCCACAGTTGACTATGGGAAGCCTATCTCAGCAGATAAATTCCCTCTCAGGGTTCATATCAAATGAATCTTTCTTCTTAGGGTCCACATAATGTGCAGTGATGTGCTCACAGCTAAGCTGAGAAGTGATATATATGTACATTTTAGGATTTGCTTACCATGTGTCATGCCTGGTGGTTTGATAAACTAAAAGTGAGAATTTTCTTGTGTACTATTCCTCACGACAATTTGCTTCATTATTCAGAGAAAGGCCCCTCCTCTCTCTGGAATGATGATTTCCAGAGTTAAAAAAGCATGTAGTATTCTGGAGCTGGCTCAAGCTGGCTGGTCTAAGTTTCACTAGATAATGTAGATATCAGCAGTGTTGATTTGTGTTCAGAACATTACTGGTAGTTGGCTAATGTCAGTACCATCTATGTGATTAGTGTTGTTAAGATTTCTGACTAATGTTAGGAGCCAGTCTACTCTCTGTGTTATTTCAATTTTAGCAGAAAAGCCTGGTAATCTCTATACTAGTCAGCTCTGGATTTTAATAATAAAAACAACAATTCAAAAACTACTCTAATATTTATGTAGTGTTTAGTATGTGCTAGACACTGTTCTGAGTGTTTTACATACAGTAACTCATTTATTTCTCACAAACACCTTATGAAGTATAAATACTATGATTAAGTATTTGGTGTACCATTTCCTCATTTCCATTTACAGATGAGTAAAATAAGGCA